CCTTGTACTTTAAACAATCAAGCTGAAATTGTGTCTCTGATCTACATGCTTGACGGACTATATGCACACACATTTTCAGGTCTTCAGCATCTATTGTGGCTGAGATCCTCTAGGGGGGGGGGAGACTTTTGTCGTCTACTGTATATCGTAATACTGAGTCATGTAATGCAGAAAAATATAAGAATTTACAGACGTGCTTTTTTTTTCAACCTAATAATATGATTTTAGAAGTGAGAATCATTGTTATTAAATTATTGAATGGTTCGATCAAGTGTAATAAAATTGTATTAAACAAAAAAAAAAAAAAAATAAACTGAAAATTATTCATCAAATGTAGCATATTAAAAATCATTGTTTTTTTTTTCGGTGTAGTTTGTTTTTAAAATGAATCACTCTTATATACTCAATCACTTTCTCTATTGATTTAGTATATAGTGTACGTTTATATCTAGATAAATATTTCAATTCCATCAATCGAGGAGCAAGTGAATTGACTCTCGATAAATGTTACTTGTAGAATTCAATCTATTCATTTTACCTAAAGAATTTGAATTTTTTATTTCTATCTTCTTAACGAAACAACAAGCAAACTCTAATTTAATTATAACTTGATGAATTTCAGGTTCTGGAACATTATGTGAAACATTATTAATGGTACAAGCATTTTTGGCTAATGTTATTTTTCCAAATAAACACGAAGATGAACAGTATAAATATACAAATGATGGTCATTTACTTGTTTCAGAAACTTATGTTGGTGCAAGTGTTGAAGCACTTGAATCAGGTGTTTTTCGTAGTGATATACCATGTCGATTTAAAATTGTTCCGTAAGTCTGCTTTATTTGTTCTATACATAGAAAGAAAAAATAACAAATATCTATTGTTCTTTTTTTTTAGTGAAACAATTCAATATTTAATTGATAATATTGATCGAACACTTCAACAATCAATTGAAATTGAAGAAAAATTATCAATGGATTTAATAGAAAATTTATCCGAAATAAAAGAAGATATTCTTCAACGATTACAACATTTAAAAAATGTTCCAAATCGTCTTGAAAATCCAAATATATATCATTTAGATGTTGGTGCTATGTATCCAAATATAATTTTAACAAATCGTTTACAACCATCAGCTATTGTTGATTCAACAATATGTGCACAATGTGATTTAAATCGTCCAAATGCACGTTGTCAACGTAAAATGGATTGGATATGGCGTGGAACATATGTTCCGGCTACACGTAATGAATTACAACGTATTCAATTACAACTTGAAAATGAACGATTTTCATTTAATGGACAATCAATTGAAAAAAAATCATTTCTAGATACATCAAAAAAAGGAACAAATACAGGTAGAAAATAAAATAAATACACTTTCACTGAATAGAAGTTCACCCTATCCGAACAAGCACATATTCTATGTGTACTTTCTTTAACTGAATATACACTATTGTCAAGATAATTAAAATATATTGTCTTGCATTTCTGAACTGTGAATAAGCTTCTAAGATGACGTCGCGTGACAGAGTCATATTATTACATGTGCCTCATAGAAGATTTTTCTCAACTTCTGGGAAATGCGATATTATGACAAGCGCGATTTAGCGTACGTATATTAAGATTCACAACGTATTGGCGGTAGATCAATATATGAATAAGAAAAGTCGAGTAATACACACAGCACTTAGGTTATCTGATAACATGGAACTTAAAAAGTATAGAAGTCCATCTATTAGCTGAGAAAAGTTGAATAAAGAAAGGATTGAAAAAATAATCTATATTATAAATTTAGATAATATACAAGAAGATATTTCGGCTATAAATTAATTAGTTTAGTTTTATTTGAATTACTGATTAATTTTATTTCTATGTACAAACTAACAAACTTCTCATTAAACAAAATATGAATCATTTCGGATATTTCTTCTGATCTATACATGATATTTATATTTAACAAAAGGCACATCACAGCTGAATAGCGACTAATTGAAGTGATATTGACCATCTGTTTCTTTTCATATTATCTGAATTTTCTGAAAACCTTGATGTTATCCTTGTCAATATATTTGTGATAGTCCCTTTTTCAGTATACACGTACAACTTAGTTTGCGCGACGTATAATGGAGAGTTCACAAACCAATATTTAGCTTCGTTCATGTGGAAAAAGCTAATCATTAGTAGTTTTATTCAATGAACTCTAAGTTGTTTTTCACATCTATTTAAGAATATTCATATGTAAAAACTATCTTTTCTTTTTAGCTAGCAATAATAATAATAATAATAATACTCTATCATTTCATGAATTACCACAAGAAACTCAATTATCAATTGAACGTAAACGTTTAGCTGATTATTGTCGTAAAGCATATAAAAAAGTCAATCATACACGAGAAGAAACTCGTGAAACAACTGTATGTCAATGTGAAAATTCTTTCTATGTTGATACAGTTCGTGCATTTCGTGATCGACGTTATGAATATAAAGGTTTACATAAAAAATGGAAGAAAAATTTAACAAATGCAGCAAAAAAAGATGATCTTAATGAAGCTAAACGATGTAATAATTTAATTGTTATTTATGTAAGTCGAATTTTTTTTTGTTATTTGATCATATTTTCAATATTTAGGATTCATTACAACTTGCACATAAATGTATTCTTAATTCATTTTATGGTTATGTCATGCGAAGAGGTTATTTTAAAAGTGTTTAAACATGTTAAATAAATTTTAACTTTTTGATTAATTTAGGTGCTCGTTGGCATCGAATGGAAATGGGTGGTATTGTATGTACAACAGGTTCAACTATCATCAAACGTACTCGAGAACTTATTGAACAAATTGGACGACCAATTGAACTTGATACAGTAAGTTATCTTGAAAATGATTTGACAAATTACCAAAAAAAGAAATGAACTCATCTTCTGTCCAGAACTGCAGTTAGTAATAATGGTAGAGAAGATATCGGGCTTATGAAACTGCTTCTGAGTAGTGTCTCCTAGTTTTAGTGAGCCGCAAGAAACCAGGGTACTTTTCTTCATTTAATATTGTATTTAGTTACCGTGAGCGATATCAGTAGAAGATCAACAACAAATTCCAAATATCGGTTATCTTATTTAAATTTTTTAGACTTTCTAATTTTACGTTATATTTGAAAATACTATGAACCCATAGATTTTGACCAGGTTTACACAAAGGCGAAAAAAAACAAATCCAAAAAAAGTACATTTCCTAAACAGTGCTTAATGTATGTAAAAAAAACTTCTCAACTGTATTGCACATAGTATGGTTAGGAAAAGGACCGCATGCAAAACCATTTTAAAACTTTGTGACTGTGATATCTCATACGGTGATCGGAGATCCTGAAAACGTGAAGAAATCTGTTTAAACTCCTTTTCTAAGCAACTGATATTATATGTGATGAATAACATGTTTTCATTGTGTACAAATTTTCTTATTTTTCATACGGTTGTACTCTTGATTAATGCGTCAGACAAGTGACTAGTTGACATCAACAAATCAAGAGATTTCATACAAATTATTATTTTTTTTTATTTAGGATGGTATATGGTGTGTATTACCAGCAACATTTCCTGAAAATTATGAATTAATAACACGTGATCCATCACGTCCAAAAGTTGTTATATCTTATCCATGTAGTTTATTAAATTTAACTATTAAAGATCATTATACAAATGATCAATATCATGAATTAGTTGATAAAGAAAAACATCAATATAAAATTCGTTCAGAAAATTCGATTTTCTTTGAAATTGATGGTTCTTATTTAGCTATGATATTACCAGCATCAAAAGAAAAAGGAAAACGTATAAAAAAACGTTATTGTGTATTTAATATGAATGGTACTATAGCTGAATTAAAAGGTTTCGAAGTAAAACGTAATGGTGAATTACAATTAATAAAAATATTTCAAGCAAGTGTTTTCGAAGCATTTCTTAAAGGAACAACACTTGAAGAATGTTATAATCATGTTGCAACTATTGCTGATTATTGGCTTGATATGTTATATTCACATGCAAAAGATATATCGGATAAAGAATTATTTGAATTAATTTCAGAACGAAGAACTATGTCAAGAATGTTATCCGATTATGGAGAACAAAAATCAACATCTATTTCGACAGCTAAAAGGTAAAATTAAACGCAAAACAAAATTATAATTTCTACGTAGTTACTGAACCTTAGATAAGTATAAACTGAAACTGAAAATAGAGCAAAAAAGAAACACTGATTCATTTATTTCGGTTGTTAAAGAATCTAAGATGATCATATGGCGTTTTGTCTGATATTCGCCCATATCAGATCATTCCAAGATATGCAAGTAGACTGAATTTTGTGAAAAGTACTAACGAGATTTACTCATAGACATATCAAAAAGTCATAAGAATCTCTTATAAAGTTCTACCAATAAGAATAGTTTCTTCCAGAAATATAAAATTCAAAAATTGAAAGGTTCTAATGACTTCAAGAACTCTCTATGGGTGAAGTGTTATGTCAAAATTCGTGGGTTCTCTTGTTTTTTATAAGTAGCGTGCTAATAATAAATAACTCCAAAAGAGATAAGTCTGAAATTTTTCATTGAATGTTTTTGTTTTTAGACTTGCTGAATTTCTCGGTGAAGGTGTTAATAAAGATAAAGGTCTTTGTTGTCGTTTTGTTATTGCTAATGTTCCACGTGATACACCTGTTACTGAATGTGCTATTCCATTAGCTATATTTCAATCAGAACAATCTATACGTAATCATTATTTACGTAAATGGTTACGTCTTACAAGTATTGATAATCTTGATANTTATTTTCTAAAATAGAAATTGTTTAGCATGTACTTGTATCTGAGCATTTCTGCTGCTAGTCATGAACAACTCATTGTCTTGCACTACCCATCTAGCAGCACAGGATGACATGTATTGATTCTTGTGGTTTGTCGCGGAACTGGTCAATAGAACATTAACAGTAAATTCTAAACATTATTAATCTGCAACTTTTATCTTATTTAATATTTTTGGGCTTTTTTGGCCAAAAAATTTATTTGAAAATATTATGAATCGATAGATTTTTGGGAACAGTTTTCTAATTTTTCATACGTTTACACTTTTGATTAACAAGTCAGACAAATGACCAGTGAATCAATAGATTTCACATGAATTATTATTTTAGTTAGGATGGCATATGGTGTGTATTACCAGCAACATTTCCTGAAAATCATGAATTAATAGCACGTAATCCATCACATCCAAAAGTTATTATATCTTATCCATGTAGTTTATTAAATTTAATCATTAAAGATCAATATACAAATGATCAATATCATGAATTAGTTGATAAAGATAAACACATTTATGAAATTCATTCTGAAAATTCAATTTTTTTTTTGTTGAAATTGATGATCCTTATTTAGCTATGATATTACCAGCATCAAAAAAACAAGGAAAACGTATAAAGAAAAACGTTATTGTATATTTAATATGGATGGTACTATAGCTGAATTAAAAGGTTTTGAAGTAAAACCGTAATGGTGAATTACAATTAATAAAAATATTTCAAGCAAGTGTTTTTGAAGCATTTCTTAAAGGAATAACACTTGAAGAATGTTATAATCATGTTGTAACTATTGCAGATTATTGACTTGATATGTTATATTCACATGCAAAAGATATATCGGATAAAGAATTATTTGAATTAATATCAGAACGAAGAACTATGTCAAGAATGTTATCAGATTATGGAGAACAAAAATCAACATCAATTTCGACAGCTAAAAGGTAAAATTACTTAACGCATTGTTCAGATAATCTTAACGATGATCCTAATATCATCAAATCATCATTGGCTGCTACTTTTGAAGCATGTCACGTCGGATTTGTCCAGGACCAATCCGACAGGCTCTAATTAAAAGAGCTAATACTTTCACATATGTTCATGAATGAATAAAAGAACTTACTCAAAAAAAAAAAAATTAGTGCTTTTAAAGAATCAAAGTCAAAAATAAGATGTTCATATCCCATTTTGACTAATTCTCACTCATGTTAGAGATGGGATTGATTCATGTTTTTTGAAGCTGAACCGGTCTTATCTCTGGTCTATATATCGGATCATCCAATCAATCACAAATAGATTAAATCTCGTGAAAAGTACTAACGAAGAGATGAAATCTTGTGGCCAACTTGAAGTTATGACTGTTATATTAGATTTTCTATCATGGGAACGGTATTCATAAAAAGTCGAACAAACGAATTTTGGCCTAAAACTTTGTTCATAGTAAAAAAAGACTAGATTTTTTTTCTATTTTTTGTGGAATATCATTGTTTTTTGTGAATTTCATATCCCAAGAAAAGAGCACTATTTTTTGGCTGAAATTTTTAGGAGATTCTAATGACTTCAACAGCTGTCTATAGGTAAAGTTTTAGGCCAAAATTCGTTTTTTAGGTTTTTTTTTTTTAAATACCATTCTAAAGGTAAAAGTCCAGTGTAATAGTCATAACTTAAAAAGAGCAGCGTATGAAAAAGAATCCTTCTAGATTTTTTCTAGTCTCAGTAGACCCTATGTAATGACTGTGGTCTCATCGCAAACGCGAACTATTACCTCAACTTGTTCCTCATAAATAAATCTTTACTAGATCAACTTGAATATATACTATTAATTATATAAGTCTGAATAATTCATTGAAATTTTTTTTTTGTTTTTTAGACTTGCTGAATTTCTTGGTGAAGATATTATTAAAGATAAAGGTCTTTATTGTCGTTTTGTTATAGCTAATGTACCACGTGATGCATCTATTACTGAACATACTATTCTATTAGATATATTTCAATGAGAACAATCTATACGTAATCATTATGTACGTAAATGGTTATGTCCGCCTGCCGGAGCTATTTCAAAATAGCTACAGGGTTCTAATGCTCATGCTAGCAATGGGAGGCGCCCCTGGGCTGCCGGTAGCCAACTTGTCTTATTCCTAGGATAGTTCTTTATCTATAGGACACAAAACTTTTACGGTTAACGAAAAAGATCAAGAATAATGTGTAAATACACGCAAATCAGTTCTTTTTGCTGAATGGAATGAAATGGTTACGTTTATCAATTGTTGATAATATTGATATACGTGAAATTCTTGATTGAAATTATTATATTGATCATTTTAATAGTTGTATACAAAAAATAATAACTATTCCAGCTGCTTTACAAAATATTCGTAATCCAATATAACGTGTTCCACATCCTGATTGATTACATAAACGTTTAGTTGAAAAAAAAAACTTTATATAAACAAAAAACATATAACTGATGTATTTAATTCAATTAATAAATAAACTTATATAGATAATAATTAACAACAATTAATATTAACAAACAAATGATATTGAAGATATAGGTAAATAAACTGAATCATCAATAAAATTAATAAAAACAAAAACATTAAAATGTAAACGTGATGAATTAAATAATAAAACAATAACACATCAATGAAGAATTATTCTTGATCCACCACCATCATTTGATCAAACAACAAATCAATATATTAAATGGTTTAATTATCAAAAACATAAATAGAATATACAACATGAACAATGACATCAATCATCAATTATATCAGATAAAATTCAATTAATAACAAAACAAAAACCTTCAACTGATAGTAAAATTGATACATATATACGTCGTGCAGCTGAACATTTACATACACATTCATGGCAAATAATATCATAAGAATTAACTGATTAAATAGGTATATTTAAAGCTTGATGTTTAATTGAACATGAATTAGTACAAATTGCAATAAAAATTTCAAGAATATTTTATGTTAATTATCGTACATCAATTGAAAATAATAATAATAATAATAATAATACACATGAACAATTCAAATCAATACAACGATCAATTGGTTATAAACATACAATAAATAATTATTCAAAACGTGTTAATCGTTTATTATCACATTGTTCACAAGTTTATTATTTATATGAATATCGTTTAGATAAGAATCATTTTCATAATTATTATACATATATATAATAACAGAGTTAAGTAATCCAAATATAGGTGTTTATGAAATGAATGTACCCTTAGATTTTCGTTTATTTATTATACTTGATTGTATATGTTCATTACGTAAAGAACATCATTGTACAAATATACTTTTAAATTTATATCATTTTAATCAATTAGAATTTTTATCATTATCAGAATAAGCATATTTACAATCTGGTACATTACAATGTATTTATTTATATATATATCAAGATAATGGAAAATTATTTATTGCTTTATTTATACCAAATAATTGTCGTGTATTTATTGGTATTTTAGATAATATTATAGAAAAATCATATGTCAAATTTAAATAAATTATTAAAAAATCAATGTGAAAAAAGACTACAAAAAGGTATTGATACAAATTTATTACCAATAAATGAACATCAATTTGAAGTTAAAGTTGATACAGATATAGAAAAGATTTAATAAAATTATTTCAAATTGTAAGTAAAATTTTTTAATTAACTAAATAAATAGAATTCTAAATTGGATTACAAAAAAAATTCATCTTTTTTTTTTCTTTTACTATACATGAAAATTCGACTGAACAATCTGATATACAGAGGTGTAGAATCTTTCAAAAAATCAAAAATTCCCTCCCCTTCCGCGGAAATTTTCTCCAAAAAATTTTCCCAAAGCTGTTTTCTCTTAGCCACTCACAGATCAACCTGACATAAGAGGACTTCGCTGCATTTTCCTATGATAAAACTTCAAACTCGACTCGTGTCCAAAAAATTGGATTTTCTGAGGGGTCCCTTAAATAATTTCATTGTTTTAGTTTTGATCGTTGTAAAGAAGGTATTGATTATGATGGAACAACAAGTACATTTTGTGGTACAGTTGAAGTCAATCACAATTTCTTATATCATTACAGATAAACAAATTCTGGATTTTTGATTAAAAATTTTGACATTTTCAATTAAAAAAAAATTTTTTTTTTGTTTAAAACGAGAATGAAATTAGTAAAATTGTAGAGCAAAACAAGCTCTACAAAACTAAATAAGAGAACAATTGTTATCATATTCTGATAAGGATCATTTCCATATGATAATCTAATGCTTTGAATCTAAATATTTAATAATATCAACTTATATTCCATATAGGAAAAATTCTTGAAATTGAATAGGAACCAATTCGATCTATATACCATTAGATGTAACTCTTCAAGCTCTACAAAACCCTGTATTTTGTTTTTCTAAGTGAATAAGTTGAGTTATCCGACGGAGTTCTTTTTAAATAAAAATACATTTGTTAGTACTTTTTTTGGACATCAAATCAGGATAGTTATATAAAATACTTCATATTCTTTTTGTTATTCTATCGATTAAAATAACAAAGTTGTACATATGACTATTACTTTATACCCTGGATGTTCACCACAATAGCTAACTTAAAAGAAAAAAATGGAAAAAGAAATAACTATTTCTTTCGATCATTTCGTCGTATATCTTGGAAAAGAATGGCCACGGGCATGTACGTATACATAAACGCGATGGTACTTCTTTCGATCAACGACACCGCGGCCCCACACTCTTTGATACTCCCTCCGCTCTCTTTGATGTGTGTTGTAAGTTTAACCAATACGATGAAGGTGTCGTCGATCTGAAGAAGAACTTGAACAAACATTCGATGGAGAATGCCAGGTTTTTATAAGAAAACGTAAAGGAATGGTAAGTTTTAAAGTAATGCGACTTATATGGATTTTTGAGTCAAATAGATATATGAAATATATTTCACTTTTTTTTTTTTTGTGTCTTATTTCATTCCACTATGAAAGAGATTTTTGTTAAAGAATGGACGTCCATTCTAACGAATGAAATTATGTTATCGTGTTCAGACAAATTAATTAGATGGTTCATATCAAAAATATAAATGAACACATAATGTTTCTTCATTGAAAATTTTCTTTGTATATTAACATTATTGAAATTTCATTAGAAAATGTGTCGATTGAGATCTCCACCACAAATTCGTGTAGTAAGTAAATTATTAAAATACTGACATGCGAGAGAATCAATACATTTTCTTAATAGTAGTATACAACGATGTATAAGATTTTCATCTTCCGTATTTTAATCGAATAGTCTTTTGTGTTATTATATTTCTTTATTTATTAAATATGACAAATAAAATTGCTTTTTTTTTTTAGTTTCATATTGTTAATCCAACTGTCGGTCAAATTAATCTCTTGGACAACGACAATCAAGCAAATATTCCACAAGAAAATCCTGAAAGTGAATTAATGAATTTTAAATAAAATTATATATTAAACAATTTGTATAAAACTATTTTACTTTAGATGATGCTCCACCAATGATATTGCTCAAAATCGAGATGATTAAATTAATCAAAAGTTATATAAATATTGGATGTCTTTTGTTCAAGGTATTCAAGCAATATATAATTCGTCGTCGTTAGTTTACATAATGTTCTGATAAACAATGTATTTTTTTGTTAATATATCTATTCAAGAAATTAAAACAAAAAGATAAAGAAATAAATAAATAAATAGATCATGAGTAAGATGATTTCTTTGCAGCAGAATGCTGCTAACATTTTTTATTTTATTTTTTTTAAGAAAAACAAGATAACAACGAAGTTTTTTTTCATTATTGTTGAACAATCAACAATATGTTTTATATCTTTCATATCTAGAAAATATTTCGATAATTTTAAACATACTTGATATTTTATTAAAGTAGATATAAAATTATCAGCAATCGATGCATGCAATGATTCTAAATTAAAAAACAAATACACTTAACTGAAAACGAAAATCAAAACAAATCCTACGTTTCATTTTTTAATCGCTGTATGAATAACATTAGAAGACAATCAAATTCTAATAATTATACTTCATTATCAATTAATACTAAACATAGACCAATATTTAGAATAATCAACGATAATATCATTAAACATTCATTAGAACTAATAGAATAATTAATAATTTAAATATCTGTTCATTGATTCTAAATTTTTCTTAACCAATTTTTGGCAATAACGTGTAACCAAAGAAATCCATAATCAAATAAAAGTGACATTAATACATCCTGAAGTTTACTTCTAGAATAAAATATATTAAGAATTTCAAGCTAAATAACATACAAAACAATCAGTATATAGAAACAGTATGAAATAAAAAGAAAAAACAAAGTTTTGTTGAATCATCACATAATGAACAATCATAAAATGTCATTAATGTTTTAAACACATATACTTTTGTATATAATATATAATCAATTGAATCTTTCATACTATGTTTTAATAAATTTAATATCCATTCACGTTTATATTTATATTATCAATATATCAAATAAAAATTTGAAAAAAAAACACAAACTTCAATTGTTGAATTATGAAATAGTTCGCTAAAAAAGTTGAATATGAACAAGATTGATGTATGGTTATTTAAGAAGAAATCTTGTTATTGTTCGATACAATTTCGATTCTAAATATTTGATATTTAGCAAAAAAAAATTTTTTTTTTTTGAAATACAATCAAAAAAGAATAGTACCTAGATGAGCAAATAAATCAACTAATTTTGATAGAAATAATGCAACGATGAGTGCTAATTTTAAAATTCGATTTCTTAATACGTTGTTTTAATAATGTAAGCATTCTGAATATTTTTGTTCTTTACAATAAAATCTTTGTCATATTAAATGTTGTTCAAAACGAGCAAGACAATTGTAAATAACAGCTCGTAATAAACTACATCGTGAACTTAATGCCATAAGACAATAAGCAAAAGAATATTTTTCAACAAATTGTTGACATTTTACTATGCATTCTAAAATAAATATTCAATTAAAATTTTAAGTTCACAGTAAAAATTCTTGATTGAAACATCAGATTATTCAAGTTTAGTCATATGACTTATTCAGAATTAAAGTGACAACGTTTTGAATCTTCGTAGAATTCGAACTACATACCTTCTCCTATCTCGATAAAAATCCTAAGGTAGTTAGACTAGAAATGACTTCGAATTTTTGTTTCAAGCTCAGAGTAGAAAATTATAAATATAATATAGATGCATTATGTCAATATGAAAAACTCAAAAAGAAAAGTTTTTATTTAAGTCGATATTCAGAATTATATCTATGGTTACTTCTGTAGCGGTCTTGACTGTCTTTAATTTCTTGATTAGGTCTACGAGTAATTTAAAAGAAGAAAATAAAGTTTTTCTAAAAGCATACTAAAGATTCGATAGCTGTTCGGGAAAAAACATTGGTTTTCGTGGTTGTCGATTAAAAGGATACGTGAATCTATGGTTCCAGTAAAGTTTTCAGTCTTCTCATGAAGTAAATAGACCAGATATACTATCCAACAGCATTCCTAACTATCAATGAAATGTGATGCCCATTAGTGAATCAACATGTCTATAGGTAATCCACTACTTTTCTCTTTCGACTAAAGGACCCAGCAGGATAAGACTAGACATCTGCCACCTCCAACATCAAATTTTGATATTATTATTTTGTACCTCTTGAACATTATATCGCATTTATTCATTTCAGTTTTTCCAAAAGAATTCGTAGTTGTTGAGTTAGGCCTTCATCTTTATGACTAAGTAATGAAGTAAAATTTTGACTCTTGAAGCGCACTTTTCTCTGCCATAAAAAAAGGATTTTTGAAAATTCTAATTACATATTTAGAATTAGCATTAAAGATTCTATCATCCTAGATAACTTTTGTTTTTTCAAAATTTCTAATGGTCAAAAAATAAAATACAAACAAAGTCATGCATCTATACATACATTGAACATATACGAAATCTTGAGATTGCATTACTGTCTCAAAAACAAAAAATAACATATTGCCGAAACTTTCTTAAAAACTTACTTATATATACAGTACTGGCCAAAAGTATGTCCGCACTAGATTTTTCACTTCTATAAAGGCTGTAGATCTGAAAACTTGTATATACATAGTTCTTGATGAATGTAGGTCAGCGGCACAATCCGCACCCCAATTGTATGAAGTAAAAGAAAGTTATAATGCAAGTTGTCTGTCACCATTGTAGACTTCATAACTTAGGAATAACAAGACTTAAGGAGCGGCGGGACCTCTCATTCTGTAGCCTTGTATTGTAGGTATCTATAATAAAATTTTTACTGAAATTCATCGAGCCATTATGGAGTTAGAGCCATTCTATTGTAAGTATCTATATACAGACAAACCATTCTATGTCATTGTGTACTTCATAATTCAGTAAAAGTTTGACAGTTCGACTTGAAACTTATAGGAAATGTTCCCCTATAGGTGTCCATTCTCTCCTAAAATTTTCAGACATATATCGCTTACTAGAAAGAAATGTCACTATGATGAACATGATGTTATTGTCATAGTCCTAGATACTTGAATCCTCAAGCAATTAGTCTCATCTTTTGAATACATAACTAGCATATACAGAAGCACATTTCTACCAAAAAAAGTTATAAAATTCATTAGATATCATAGGAAACAAAACATAAACTTTAATATTCAATTTTTAACTCATAATGACAATCTAATTGTTTTTTTTCAAAAACTCAAAAAATATGGTAAGACAATATCTTGCTTTGAAGAAAAATCAAACTTTTTTTTAATATATTTTTTTCTATTTAATTTTCTATTATTAATATAGATTGTCGTTTACTAAGTTTGAAGATCTTGCAAACGAACTTATCTGTGAAATCGTCGAATTTCCCAATAATTACAATCTATACGAAGCTTTTTCCAATCTTAATTGACAATTTCAAAATCTTCTCATTTATTCAACTGTTTCTATTAAAATCAATATGTCATTCATATCTAAATTGGCCTTTGAACGTTATTATACTCATATTATTATACCAAATCAACATCGAATTAAATCATTTTATTCATCAAATCTGTTCGTTATCGATCTCATTTTTACATCTTCTTCTATTGTTTCAAAATTTCATCGACTTGAAACACTTATTCTTAAAAATCTCGAATCAAAATATCTTGGAAAAATTCTAAAATATTTAACTTTATTGCCTCATCTCTTTTCATTGACTATTGCTCTTGTTGACTGTAAATCAAATAAAACTACTCTTTATCGTCAAACATTTTCCTTACCAGTATTGAAATATTGTAAATTATCCTATGAAGAATGCGCTGAACCTGAATCACTCTTGCTTATTATCAATAAATACATCACTATCGAACATATGGCCATTAAGAATTCTTTTGAATTTTATGAACTCGATGCTCTTTTAACTTATGTTCCTCAACTTCGTCGTTTTTGTGGTGTTATTCATTAACTGCATCTAGAAACAAAAAAAAAAACAGAAATACCGATTGTACAAAACAATTTTAATACATGTTTCACTCACATGGCAATTTATAAGTTTTAATCTATTTGAATCCTTGGTCAAAAATCGCTTTTATCAACTTCAATTATTGCGTATTTCTACAAGCAATGATAGGACATATTTGAATGCTAAAAGATGGCAAACATTGATTTTAACTTCTATGCCTTGCTTACGTATCTTTGACTTTGAACATAAGGAATTCGTATATAATTCATACTCTAATATCACTGAATTTCATAAAATGATCGATCAATTTAATTCTTCATTTTACTTTGAACGACAATGGTTCTTTTCACATCAACATTATGTTGAAAAAAATATGGGCGGTGTGATCTTCTATTCCATCCAACCATACAAGTATAGTAGTATCAATTTTTTGATACCGACTAGCTCTGATTTTTTTGTCTTTTGAGACGAAAACATTATAAATTATACAAATTATCAAATAAAGATAGGTGTTCACATCGTCAAGAAGCTCTTCATGATTTGGTTCGTCATGTTTATATGGAAGATGAAGAGTCGATTGTATTTCATCGGGTTCAATTTTCAAAAGCCACTGAACTCACTCTTTGATGTGGATGTAATTACTCGACGGCTGTCATCCTCCATCATATTATTTGTTTGACACAATTAACTAATCTAACTATAAATTGGGGTATGTTTTGTTTCGATCAATTACTTGAATTATTAAGTATTACACTCAATATTCAAACATTAAAACTTTATTCTATACGTTTGTATCAATCAAATCCAATATCAATACAACAAACTGAATTTTTTCGTTTGGTATACAATGGAAACAAGATTACAAGTTTAACTATTTCTCATATTTGTTCATTAGATAAATATGAACTACTTGTCACTTTGTGTTCTCGACTATAACATATGATACTGAATATTTCAATAAATGATCTTGAATCCATTATTAAATTACTATTAATGAAAACTAATGCAAATACTCGTCATTTATTCTCGTTATGTCTTCTAAATGCAACTACAAAAATGTACCAAATATTAAAGATCATGATCGATTCCGAAAAATTTTTGGATAACTATTCAATCAAATTGGCTCATCAAAAATTGTATCTATGGTGGTAATATTGATTTCTGATATACACTTTCTATAGATTGTCATAAATAAAATATAATAAAATCACTTTTGTTTTGGGATGGTGGTGTGAATATTGGCCTAAACGATAGCTACAACCACGCTCCACATCTTTCTTTATTAATAAAGTACACAAATATTGATTTACGTGCGCTATTGATCTATAATTGTATTTATTTTGTCTGAAAGGATCAATGCTAGTGATATTTTTTTTTTCATGTCAGTGAGAGAATTAGATTTCGATAATACCCTGATCGAATTTTATTAGTAATAAGTATAGTGTATACGATAAGGGTGTGGGTGTGGATATGGGTCTTGTTTTCATTGGTACCTTCACCCACACATCCACGAGGCATTCAGATCAAAAATTTTCGAATAAATGGAACAATTTCTGAAGGTGTGGAGCAAAGATAAGCGGCTCGTCATTACGTACTTGGAATTGAGAAAGTGCTGAGTGCCGTCTCTTTGTATAGATGATTTTTTTAAACCAAGTATTCCCACGATTGAGCACAATACTTCAAAACTAAAACTCATCAAGAAAAAAAAACTCTTTTCAAGCAAACTTATGACATGCTACCTTTCACAGAACTTCACTAATTTGTATTATTTTACATGTGATGAGTTTATTTGAATGATCGAAATGTGTTAAAAGGAAGACAAGTCTTATAGGAGCAAAAGATTTATAAATTGTAGAAACGCAGTTGGTAAGGTTCAGGTGCCTGTATGACAAGACATTTCTCATTGATCAATGCTGTCGAAAGTATATTTGCATCATAATCAATTGTTTATTTTAATGTTCCATTTGAATTAAATAAATATAATTTGTTTGTCCCGATAGAAGCCAGGAATATATCTTCGGGGAGAGAAAGGAGACAACTATGTGAACGAAACGTAACTTCAAGTTCAGTAACTTGTAAGATATGCATCTCATTCGAACGACAAAGTTCAAACCACATACGACCTTTAGCATTGTTCCATTTGTTTAGAATCATTTCAAGACGTTTTCCTGTTGAATTATATTTCATTGAACAAATCCGGTGAACTTCTCTACATAATGCAGGTGATTCATACGTTTGAACTAACTTCCAAATCTTTAAATTATACTCTTCATTTCTGTAATCAGATGAAACTAACAAAGTTTCTTTGTAACATGTATAGCTTTCCCCTCCTTAATCAAATTTTATCATTTCTTTTAACTGCTGTATCTTATCACGAGTTACACTTAATGAATATAATTTTCTACCATCATCCAATACAAAAAATTGATTCAAGAAAGACGACCAGCAAATACTAACTACATAAAAATGTAGTTGAACTTTGAAATTTTCATTTCCTTGTGCATCAAATGAACACAGTCTGACTTTTGAAGAGTATAGTAAATATCTATCATTAGCAGCCATTTCCGAGAAGCTTATATCAACACTCAAAGTTAGTCTTGGTTTGTCTTTCAAAACATCGAAATTTAAAGACGTTGTTAGTGTATTATTGGTCAATCAAGTAGATGAATTCGAATTTGGACTCAAATTGGTTAACTTTTGAGCAGTAGAAATTGTAGTAGGAGTCATTTTCACAGCGGCATCTTGTTGAATTGGAGGAAACGGGACTTTGATAAGTGTAACGGGCGGCTCAATCTGTCTCAGTTGAATAATTCGAAGTTCTGAACCTTGTTTTATAACACCTTCAACTTCAAAATGACTACACGGCATGAGCAAAACTTGACTTTCATTCGGAAACTGGGAGTGATTTTTTATCATTTTTTCGTTAAAAGATTTAATATTGAAAAGTGTTCTTTGACCCCTTTCATCGAGAAATGTTTCTTTTTGAAGCACGTTCAATGAAGCTGTACAGCTAGATGCACCCCACCAAAGAAATCTCCTTCCCATCGGATATTGATCTTCAAGATATTTTTTTGATACCTCGCCAAACACCATCTTTCACGTCAGGTAATTTCCAAAGAGCCGTCAGAAATAGTTTCAAGTAGGAAAAATATAAAATGAAACTATTAAAAAAACTCTTTGCTAACCTATTTGTTGCTTCTACACTTAGGCTAGTTGCTTAGTTCTAAGAACCTTATCTATCTGCAAAATTTCCGAATGAGTTTGCAAGTTTTTGTCAATCGTTGCTTCTGAGTGCAGCATTCAATTGATGATACATGCATTCCATTGTATAGAGATAAATTGCAGCGCGTTCATTAGACGAAAGTCCTTCTTTTTCCTTCTTACAGCTTCCCACAGCTGTCCAGAGGAAACCTTGAATATTTTCAATCAGATCATCGAGTGTCTGTACGGCTTCTTCAAGCGAGACGAGTAGTTTCAACTCGTAACTTTGTATGGGTAAAAGACATTTTTGAGGTTCTTCATTAACGTCAAGAAAACGCTAAGTTGGAATGTAATTAGCTTGTGCCATTTTGAATCGATAGAAACGTAGCAAAATTTATTACACTTTTAAATGTGAAAGCGACAGCGTTATCAAAATCGTAGCCCTGATATTCATATACAATATTTCGTTACTACTTAGCTTATAGAAGATACCGAAACTAATGTGATATTAATCATAATGATAAACTTCAGAAAGATTTTTATTGTCTACTATTGAAATACTTAGTTGATGGCATGAAAAACTAATGTAAATAATTCATAATGTTCCTATATATCCAAATTTTGAGTACCGCAAAAATCGAATATCTCTCTCTAGGGACGCTATGGGCAGCTAATAGTTTAACCTTATTAGTTTGACGATGAGACCTTTCATTTGACACAAACATGTGCCATATTTTCGCTTATTAACACACACCCACACCCACACCTCCATTGTAAGAAAACAGGAAAAGAAAGTGTTTTTCTACTAAATGTCTTGTTAAAATATAGTGAGACCCATCGATGAGTCTCATCGGATCGAATGTGTTGTTAAACATGCTAATTGACCGAGATAAGTAAAACTTTTGATACAATCGAAGATATTTGGTACTATTTGAACATATTTTAACTACTGTAGTTCTTTTCAAAAGAAAAATACAATAATACCATTCACTTGAGATATCTCTATTAATTAAGTCTAATCCAGTTTCTAAGACAACTTTCGATTCCATATTTTCTCCTCAGACTTCAATTTAAAAGACTTGATTTATTAATGTTCATCTTGTGCAAAAAAGTAAGTAACAGTTTTTGCTCATGAAGATCATGAAATAATTCTGACAATAATCTACACATATTTAACTAACTAAATAAAATAGAGTTTTTAAAACATTTCGTGTCTGATGTCATAAAGTGAAAATGTGTCATTGTACTTCAATGTTTTTATACATTTATAAATCAGTAAGAAATAAGAGTTAATCGAAATAATACAATGAGTTTTTCTTCACAAGAGATAAATGTTTTAACAAAAAATAACAGCAAAAAATCGAACCACATTAATAAAAAAAGAACCTATAGCAATACAACAAATAGCAAGAAAAGTGCCTGTTGAAGAACATATATCATCAAAAAAAAAGACCGAATACACAAAAAAAAAGAACAATTAATATTAAATAGTCGATATTGTTTCTAAAAATTTCTTTGTGTACGATTGAATTTTCTCTTTTACTTCAACAATTGATTTATTTTTATTTAAAAGAAGTAAACTTATTTCTTTATTTGATTCACTTGTGAAATTATTCAGTGCTGTAAAGAATTTAGCTGCTGCAGCCACTTGCTCGTCCTAGAAAAATCGAATTGCATAGAATAAATGAAACATTGCAAAAAATTATGTAAGATACATCATTTTAAGGAAAATTTATTTAGGAAAAAAAATGATGATAAAAATATTAAAAAAAATACCATTTTTCAATGATGAAAACGGACAT